CCCAAACTCATAAATACAGACAACAGATTGGTGGTTGCCAGTGGTAATGGTGGTAGAGGGAAATACATGGGTAAATGTGGTGAAAAGGTACAAATTACCCATTATAAGATAAATCTTAGTGGTGTGATGTACAGCATGGTGACTACAGTTAACACTACTATATTATATATTTGAAAGTTGCTAAGAGAGTAGATCTTAAAAGCTCTCATCACAAGAAAAAATAAAAACTTATATTTTGGATATTAACTAAACTTAGTATGGTAATCATTTCACAATATATACATATATCAAATTATGTTGTACACCCTGGACTAATACAATGTTATATGACAAGTACATCTCAGTAAAAAAATTTAAAGAGTAAATAAGTTCCTGATACAGTGTCAGATACTGAACAGTGCCACAAAGAAAAATATAGCAAGTCAAGAGAGAAAGGAGTGACATGGTCTGGGTGGAAAGAGGAGCTATTGGCAGGATGATGGGAAAGGGCTTCTGTTAGCAAATGACTGTTGGAGTGGGGAGTGGGGAGCTTTCCAGGCAGGGGCTGCAGCAAGAAGAGGAGCACATCATGTGCCGTGTTCCACTGCAGGTGCTGTGCTCCTGTGTCCAGGAAGAGGTTGTTGTTATTGTGCAAAAGATAAAAATCAGGCAGAGAGATAAATCAAATCCCTAACTTACCCAGAAAATTCATGGTGGAGCTGAGATTTAATACTGAACTTGTCTCATCCATTTTTATACCTATCCACATCAGAGTTTTCACACTTTGCTAAAGATGCGTCCCCATGACAGTAAAGTGTTAGAGCTAAAATGGTGAGCCCATCCTTCAGAGGCCTCTTGCTTTGATGCTATATTTTTCCAACTAATGTCTAGTATAATCACTTATAAATCTGGTCACTACTTTTCATTCTGCCATTTTTTTGACTGCCTATATGATAGGAGAGCTCAGATGAAAATACAGCACATGGAGTCTAGACTTGTGAGGTAAGAGTTTCAGTGAGTTTGAACCGTTATCTAAACATACAAATTATAGTAGGCTTGCATCTTGTGTTATGTGAACACATTATGATGCCAACTTATATACCGTTTATTTTCTTAAATAAAAGAATAGCTGGACAAAGTTAAAAGTGGAGTTTATGTTGGGTTGCAGAATAGCTAAATAAATTGCCAAGAATTCTTTCAACTCTAGTACACATCCATAGTTTTCACATGTTCATGGTCTCTGTCTCACCATGAATATTTCTTCTTCCTCCAATCCACCCAGGGAGCAGACTTCCTGTCCTCCTCAGGAGTTCACAGTTCATTAACACAAAGCCAGCTTGTTCGTGAGCATATGGTCTATCTCACAGAACAGGAACATCAGCAATATTATTTTCAAAAGAGAATTTAAAGAATGCTCTCATGTTCATTCCGTACCACAAACCCCCTCCACTGATATTGTGAGCAATGTGGGCACTAACGGGCTCATTCATATTAATGGCACACTGATAGCTCTTATAGTCATTCGTAAATCCAGTGGGGAATGGTTTACACACACCCTTTATTCCACTTTGGAAGCCAACACAGAGTAGTGAATAGTCAGCATGATTCCCTGGATTCCTGAGTTCACGCTGGGACATAACTATAAAGTTTACAGATGCTCTGAAGTTCCAGGAAGAAAGATTCCTTTAGCTCTCATAAACTATAATTCTAAGAGAGAAAATTACTTTGTGAAAGAAAGAACCTACCTTCTATTGTGATCACCACCTAAAATAAACATTTGAAATTGGTTATTTTCTCAATGAATTTCATGAAAAATTACTATCTTCTCAATTTTTTTCAGTTTCCCGTTTTGAAGCATGGGGGTGGGGAATGAGGTACACCTGGAGTGCCCAGCTCAGGTGAACCAGGGGTCTGTGCCACTGGGCTCTATAGGACACCTGCTACATTAGGTCACTCTACCAATCCTGGGAGATGTTGCAGCTCTATGTAATACATAGAAACAAACACAGGGAGACTGCCACAATGAGGAGACAAAGAAACATCCCAAATGAAAAAAACAGAACAAAATTCCAGAAAAAGAACTAAACAAAATGGAGACAATTGATCTACTAGATGCAGAGTTCCAAACAGTGGTTATAAGGATGCTCAGTGAACTTAGGAGAGAGTAAAAGAACTTAGAACTTCAACGGCATATAAAAGGACATGGAAACCAAAAAAAAGAACCTCCCAGAAATGAAGGCTACACTAATTGAAATGAAGAATAATTTGCAGGGAATCAACAGTAGAGTAGATGATACTGAGAATCAAATCAGCCATTTGAACTATAAGGAAGCACAAAACAAAAAAGCAAAACCCAATCGGGACAGCAAACAGAAAAAGAATTTAAAAAATGAGGATAGTGTTAGGAGCCTCTGGGAAAACTTTAAGCATACCAACATTCACATCACGGGGGTGCCAGAAGGAGAAAAGATAGAGCAAAAAATTGAAAACCTATTTTAAAAAAACAATGAAAGAAAACTTCCCTAACATGGTGAAGGAAATAGACATATAAGTCTAGGAAGCACAGAGAGTCCCAAACAAGATGAACCCAAAGAGACCCACACCAAGACACATCATAATTAAAATGTCAAAGGTTCAAGACAAAGAGAGAATTTTAAAAGCAGCAGGAGAAAAGTAGTTACCTATAAGAGAGCTTCTATAAGACTATCAGCTTATTTCTCAACAGAAACTTTGCAGTCCAGAAGGATTGCTAGAAATATTCAAAGTGATGAAAAGCAAGAACCTACAACCAAGGTTACTCTACCCAGAAAAACTATCCTTTAGAATTGAAGGACATAGAAAGAGCTTCCCAGACAAGGTAAAGCTAAATGAGTTCATCACCACAAAACCAGTATTACATGAAATGTCAAAGTGTCGTCTTTAAGAAGGAAAAAAAAAGATCAAATATATTAACAATGAAATGGCAATAAATACATATCTATTAAATAATTACATAAAAAAAGGAACAAGCAGAACATAAACAGACTCAGAGATAGAGAACATTTTGATGGTTGCCAGATGGGAAGGGGGGCTAGGAAGATGGGTGAAAAAAGTGAAAGGATTAAGAAGTACAAATTGGTAGTTACAGGATAGTCATGGCGATGTAAAGTGCAACATAGGGAATATAGTCAATAATATTCTAGTAACAGTGTATGCTTATTAGAGTCAGATGGGTATGAGATTTATTGGGATGATCACTTAATAAAATATAATATGTCTAATCACTGGGGTATACATTTGAAACTAGTAAATAGTGTATGTCAACTGTAATTGAAAAATAAAAAATTACTTAAAGAAAAAAGAGAATGTAAAAATTTGTTAAGTGGGTCAATCTCATGTTGACTGTTTTTAACACACACAAAAACACAAACAAGAAAAAGCAAAGGAGCCTTGACCAGGTGGCTCAGTGGGTTGGAGCATCGTCTTGTATACCAAAAGTTTGTGGGTTTTACCCCAGTCAGGGCACATACCTAGGTTGTGGTTTTAAACCTTGGTAGGGGCATGTATGGGAGGTGACCTATCAATGTTTCTCTGTCTCTCTCTGTCTCTCTCTCCCTCTCTCCCTCAAATCAATAAACATATCCTTGAGTGAGGATCAAAAAGAAAGCAAGGAACACAAGAAATCTTTCACTGGTGATGGATATGTTTATTTCTTTGATTGTAGTGGTGGTACCATGGGTGTGTGCATATGTCCAAAATTACCAAACTGTAAACATGAAAATGTGTAATTTTTTGTATATCGTGTGTACCTTAATAAAGCTGAAAAAAAAGAACTTAGCTTAAAGAATACACAAAGCATTAATTGACATTTGAATTAAAAACAGATCTTATCATCCAAAAATAACCAACAGTATATGAGGTAGAAAAGTATTTTAAAATGTAAAAGGAGCATCTGGAAGGAATGGATGATGACAATGCTAAAATTAGCTAAGTAATAACGAAAAATGGAAAAAAACAAACAAAACATTTAAAACATTCCAGGAAAAACTGGAAAGACCAGGTCCATTAAAAAAGATATTGGAAGAGGCACATGCCCAGCCTATAAATTTTTCCTGTGATGATGTGCATTTTCTTTCCTGTCCTCTTACTTTACTTTCCACTCAGGAATACCCTTGAAGAAAGAAGTAACTATTTACATGTTTCTATCTAACCATATAGTGATTGAGATCACCCCTACTAACCTACAGGTTAGTTTTAATTTCAGCATTTTAAAAGGTGGGGGAAATGGTTATAAAGTACAAGTGACAAGTAGTAAGTTCCCGATTTGAATGTCTGAGAGACTTTTTATAACAATCTTCAGAGAATCCATGTGTTGACCAGCCCGTAGTTGGAAAAAAATATACTGCAAGGTTCTACTGGACGTTTGCTTAGTGAATTGTATTGGACAGAGTACAGAAGGAGCCACTGCCACAGAGTTATCTCTTTGTGAACACCAGCATGGCAGTGTCCCTGTGAGATTCATTGTAACCAGGGTCGCAATCTCCGAACTGACCTTTCTAATGATGATGGACTATGTTAACGTTTATTTCCTATTAGAGGTCATCAAAATCGAAGTGCTGTTGGTGACCCCAGTGGAGGCGTCCGCCCAGGTGGACACGTTGAGCTCTCCCTTTCTCAGCCGGATGCTGCCTGGAGGAATGGCAGCCTGGCTGCACTAGGAACGTGTGGGCAATGCGGAAACATGTTGCTGCCACTTGGAATATTTTGAGAAATGGAGATTTTATTTCTTCTAACAAATAAGAGTTGTAAAACCCAGAATAGTAACTCCAAAGATGTTATTCCTTCTTATTATATGTAATATGGCATACTGTTATAGAATGACAATCATATCTAGAACAGGAAAATGGATTGAAATATGTTTGATAAATTACTCAGAATGGGTTTAGAAATAAATATAAACCACATATTGATCATTTTAAATTTAGAAGTCTGTAGAGAAAACATCAGAATATCCTGAATTGATTATATTTTGGTCATTCTAGGTAATGCTGATCCTGAAGGCCAGGGCTACTGCCAAGCGGGATTTAGCCTGGACTTTTATAAGGTGAATTCCTTTGGTCTTGTAGCTTCTATGTTTACTTTACCTGTCTGACTTTTTTTTTTTACCTTCTGCTTCTACCCCCATTAACCACCACCAACAAAAGAACCTTTAGGTATGTATCTAGCCTCTTTTGTTAATGTCTTTATTTTTTTGTTTACTCTTTATTTCTATTTAAGTAATCTATGCATGTGAAAATCTATTAAAATAGTAAAAAGTACATATGATTAAAAACAACAGTCTTTCTTTCCACACCTTGGCATCATTGTGCTTCTGAAAAGCTCACAGGAATATGTAAATTGTTTTATCTCTTTGCTCTAATTGATCAATTAGATTTAACAGTGCTGAAATTCACATATCCTTTCACAAAATTAAAAACAGAGATCTCTAGTAAGAATATAGGAGGCCAAGATTCTATGGTTTTAAAAGTAGTATAAATTTCATCAACATCTTTAAGGATGCAGAGTATAGAAGGTGGGGTTGTAAGTAAGATAAAAAATTGTATTTACTAGTTTGGAGATTTTGTCCTCTCTCCTGGGAAAGGTAGGTTTGCAAATGTATGGGAAAAATAGGCATTACTATGGCCTTGAGATAAATAGAAACTGAACTTTTACTTTATTGCCAAAGCTCAAAAGACCATGTCTGCTAAAGTGTACAGCATTAAATATGTAGCTATTTTGCTTACCTACAACAGTGCCAAACAACTGAAATCACATATTCTCAGGGGAGAGAATTCAACGCACCTAATTAAGTCAAATTAAAAATATATAATACATTAAATAATTGCAAGCAAAAAAAGAAAGAAGATGACTCAGATATAAAGGCCTCTTTTAAAAATTACTTTTTTATGTACAACAAATTGTTAGAGCAATGCTTATTAACAGTGATTTATCACCCCTTAAAAAATCTGTTTTCCTTTTCCAATTGTTGTTGCCATTTCTCTTTGTAGAATGGAGACCTTATAGTGGGAGGACCTGGAAGTTTTTATTGGCAAGGTATGTTCTGTTGGCAGAGAGGACATGCACATTTGTTGTTACTAGTGAGCTGTTGAAACAGAGTTACATCAAACACTGTCTTTTACTATGTTAATCTCATACCTATATTCATAGTTCCTCAAGTGAATGATGTTTTTCAGTTTGTACTCTGTTATATTGTCGCAGCTTAATTCATTGATTCACAAGCTATTTACTGAGGCTATGCCAGGCTTTGTGCTAGATGCTGGGGACACAATAGCGAGTAAAATCAGACACTGTTCCTGCCCTCATAGGAGTTACTATCTAGGGAAGGACACAAGCATTAAATGAATACTCGTACAAGTACAAAGAAACACCAGGCATGATACTCACTATGAAGGAAACGTATGTCAAGATGGGGCCACGAGAGCCAGGAGGCTCCTCTGGGGTGGCTGTATGCAGGCATGCCCTCTGCACACTGGCTGACAGCGAGCTGGAGTACAGCCTGTGCCCTGCTTAGGGGGAAAACCTGAATGCAGAGTGGATGACTTGCTCTGATTCTTGTAAAGGTGTTACACAGGTCAACTTCTTTGCAAGCAGACAACCCTGAATTGAGATCTGAACTCTGAATAGGAAATAACTAGGTGAAGAGAGGAGAGACTATGAAAATGACCTTGCAGGATAATTTGGTCTGGTCCAAAATGTCTATGAAGGCATTTGATCCACATCAACCCAGCTAACTAACCCAGGTGGCTGAAAAAAAACACCTTACATCACTTGTATAAGGGCAATAGCTGAAGCCATAGGTGTGGACAGGCTGCTCAATGAAAGATGACAGAGAATATAGACTGAATGTTGGCTGTAATGTTTAGGATAAAGAGAGAGTCGAATCTGAGAGAGATGAATAATTGAGTGAGGGTTGCCTTTTTTATTGCAGAAGACCTGATCATGTTTAAAATCCAATGGGAAAGATACAGGAGAGATGAATTTATGATAAAATCTTATATGAAGTTACTGTTAGCATGATTCACACATATATAGCTATGAACATCAAATAATTAACATTTCCATCTTTAAAAATTATTTTGTAAACTAAAAACAATATAGTTTACGCAGTGGATGGATATAAAATTAAAATCATGTGTATTTAAAAGGACTGTCTTCTAATTCACTTGATTAATTTCACATAATTCTCTTCTTTTCTTAAATTGAAAAATGCCTGATACAGATGATTTGCTGAAAATTAGCCATATCAAGGGGATATAGAAGCATTTGTCTGAGACAGATAATTTAAAATTTTATTCAGTCTTAAGATTATAGTGTTTATAGAAGCAGCTACAGGAAACAGCAAAGGCAGTGTGTATGCGAGAGGAGGGAAGGGGCTGTTCAGCTTTAGCCTAGAGAAAATTGGCAAATTCCAGACACATTGTTCAGAAACTAATGTGTAAATACCATTGTCTTAATATAAGAGCAGTCATTTCAGATACAGTCACTTGGATATATTTGTGGCCTGCTTTGACAGTTTTATTCTTTTTGGACTTCAGACAAGAATGTGAAATTATGTGTGAATTCCCAAAGAATAATTTGACTTTAAAATTAATATTAAATGTCAGTCTCTTCAAAACATGCCTCCATTTTTCTCCCAAAGAGAGATCAGATTTTTCCCTTAGCTGTCCATAGTAGATATGGGAAGGCATAAAAATTGTGGTGGGAAGTTGCTGGCCACCATTTGGATTTCTGTTTGTCCCAGGCAATATAAGCATATTTGCAGACCTGTGACAGTGACTTTATGTGGGAGAGATGAACCAATGTTCTGATCATATCGATGTTGCTGGCCATTGATTCCTTTTTTTCTTTTTTGCCAAAATTCTGGCTCTCACAGGGCCTAGCTGCTTCTCACTCTCATAATATCATGCTCTGTACAGTTTAGCATGAAAAGTAAATGGCTCAAAGATTCCGTATTTCTTCCTTTAATGTAGCTATGTTTCACAATCTCTTAATCAAATGATTTAGATTTAAAATATCTGTATTTTGTGAGAACATAAGAAGTTCAATTAGAATGTCAAAGGAGATCTTCATTTTCATGCCAAATACTGTAAGGGCAAAACCACCAGGTGATCTTAGAGAAAACGCGTAAGCTTTCTGGGCCTCAGCCTCCCCATGAAAATTGGGTGGGAAGGTCCCAAAGCCAGAGAATGTTTCTCCTAGCTAGAATGTAACCATAAATTTTGCCTACAGATGTCTTCACTCTTAGCTGTTTTTGACATTTGAAGGTCAAGAGACTATATCTGGTGAAGGAAGACATAAAATGCATAGTTCATCTCTGGCTCTTGTGTCCGAGTGGAGAGCCCTCTCTCCCAGCCGTAACCAGTCACAGCTTATAGCTGCCGTGGCCCACCAGAAACTCCATCACTGAAGATGCAAGCAATCCCATGATCATTTTTAAAGGAGTATGTGTTGCTCAGATGTTCAGACATTATTCAATTAATTTATCCATTTGTTTGAACGCAGGTCAGGTGATCACTGCCAGTATTGCAGACATCATTGCAAATTACTCCTTCAAGGATATTCTAAGGAAACTGACTCGAGAAAAACAGACGGAAGTGGCTCCAGCTTCCTATGATGACAGTTACCTGGGTGAGGCCCGTTGCTCAAGACACTTGTTCCCTCAAAAGACAAACATATTTAATGTGTGGATATGTTTTATTTCTCAGTTATCTGATATTATTTGGCATCTTATACATATTTTCTTTTTTTTATGTTTCAGTGACACTTATTCTTACTTTAATATTTTTTGTCTTTTTGTGCTTTTGAAATGAACTCTCAGTTACAAAATATCAAACTACACTAAAAAATGCCAGCCACTGACACAGCACGGAGAAGCCCACAAATGAGGACAGATAGCAGCAGCAGGTGGCAAGAGGTGGGAAGTGACTGAAACAGTGGTTAACAAACGTTCACAAGAAGCTGAAACTATCCAACAGGTTGAGCCCTAATTTAGCACAGGTTACACTAGTCAATACCTTGGTAGGTGGCCTCAGTATATTTGGGTTCAGATTCTACATGACAACACAATTTCTTCCAGTTAGGAGTTCTTGGCTTGCACCGATCACAGGGTGGCCGGAAGGCACTGGACTGGTCTATTAGTTTTTCCAAAATGCTGTTGTAGACCTGATAGATGTACTGAGAGACTTCAGGAGCTCTACACTTCAGCAACAGCATATAATCAGCATTTCCCAGCTGGATACATAGCTCAGCCAAGATCCAAATGCCGTTGGTGAGCTTCAGAGATTGGTACAGCATGTCCTGCCCTTCCTTCCACATTTCACTTGGCAATAGTATAAACATTGTTTTGCAACTTGCTGGAAATAGTGTCAGCATTTCAATGACATTCCTTAATCTGAAACTGAAGTTCATTTTTATTGGGATTATCCTTCCACGTAGTGAGGAAGACCTGGCACTGCATTTTTCCATCTTCTACAAAAAGCACATTGAGTGGGATGAGGCAGCTGAACTGGAAGACATCGATATCGCTTTTCACAGCCACTTGCAGGTTATCCAGAGGTTCCATCTTCATGACTGGGCCCAAGGTGTTGAGGGGCAGGGAGACATCGTGCTCTGGTTTGGCGTCAGTGGTGTGTGGATGGCCAGAGGAATGCTGGGGATTGCACCTAAGCTATCCTTATGAAACTGGATCACAAAGTCTGCCCTGGGTTGCAGAGCTTTGTTGGTGAAGATCATTTCCATATAGATGTGCCCCTGATGATGAGCAAGTTTCCGGAAATCTCCAAGCTTTTAGCCTTTACTGCAGGCAGCCAGACAGCCTCAGGAGCCACATCTCCGCCATGTGCCATGCCTCTCCCTGTGGAGAGTTCACACAGATCAATCATTCAGATCTCTGCTGACCACAGCAGGTAGGTGAAGGAGCAAAGGTTGCAGGCATTGATGATGGGGCGAAGGATTGTCCTACTGCCAGACTTCCTCCATTGCCCTCACCAAGGTCACTGCCAAGCAGACCATCTAGTCCTTCTCCCAAGAGATCCACTGCTCCCACTTGCATGGAGGATACCTCTGGCACATTGACTGGGGGACCAAGGTCAAGATTTAAAAGGTCTCCCAAAAGGTCACCTTGAGAGGGAATAACCTGAGGTGCTCCAGGTTGGTGGCAGTGGTGGTGCCAACAGGGCCATCGTCAGCATCAGTGCTCCCGTGATGTACTGGCAAGAGTTTGCAATGGATTTCATGACCTCCTTCCACAAGAGCTGTGATACACACCGGCCAATAAACCTGTGGGGCAGATTAACTCATTCAGCAGAGTTGGCTCAATAAGATCTGTCCCCCCAGAGATCAGCAGCTTCTCAGACAAGACTGTTTCTTTGGCTGTGACAGGGTCCATTGAGAGAAGCTGCCAATAAATACAATCCTTATCTCAAAGGTCAGGATTATCAGAATCCTGTGTTGCCAAACTCAAGACCTGCTGTACTAGCTCCTGTGTTTCTGATGGTCTCTCGAGGAATGGTTTCACTATGGCAGTAAGCAGAGTGAGCTGCAGCTGGGTGCTTCCATCCTGAAAACCCTCCAGGAAGCGCTCTAGTAACTCATCTGCATTGTCAGTTCTTTCAGCATATTCTCCCACAATCCAAATCACAGCTGCTCGAGCATCTGGCTCATCCAACAAGTCTAAGTTCTCACACAGAGTAGCAGTAAGACTTTCATACTTGCTGGGGTGCTTGCAGAAGATGTCCCTGATGACAATTGCCTCTTGGACCACATATTTTACTTTGGTCTGGATGAGATCAAGCAACGTGATTACACAATGTTCTGCAGATTGCTCCACTTCGATGGCACACCGTCCAATGGCCCGCACAGCTTTGCGAACAAAGTCAACACCCACCTCTGGCATATTCCTTCCATTTGGCCAGAACCCAAGCAATATTGGCTTGGGATGCTAAAGGGATCGTGATGTCCAACTTCTCTAGTTTAACATAGATGAGATCACTATACTTCACAAAGAAGACTTCGATTTTCTGCTTTAAGAAAATCACCTTTTCTGAGCAGTTAGGTTGATGTTCCTCAGGGCGACGTACTGCACCTCTATCTCCCCAGACGGCAAAGTGATGAGTGGAGGGGCCAACTTCTTCTGCAGCATATTGTAGTAGTCAGAGTCCTTGGGTGACACCTCCAGACATTTCATTAGGACTTTCACTGCTGAAAGCACCACTGCTGAGCTGGAATGAAATAGCTGGGGAGTCACCCACTCACAGATGCTCTGAGCCTCTAGATCATTTTTAGGGTTATAATTGGACAGGCAGTCAGGGATGAAAATCTGGCCCCATTCTCTGCACTCACTCAGGGCGGTCAGCAGCTTATTAATGTTCTGTGGGTTCAGATCGAGTAAGTTCCTGTTTGGGTGATATTCACTGATTGCAGATAACTCTGTACAGCATTAGCCACCACCATTGGATTTGAATCTGCTATGAGATCCCGCAGAGAATTCAGAAATCCCTGATTTCCCACCATTTGGGCATTAATATCATAGAGTTTTGCCATGCAGACTGCTGCTGTTTTTGGAACATAGGGATCTTCACCCTTCAAGCACTTGTGGAGGGGCTCACAGAGATATTATGCAATCTTGTCTACCTGGATGCACCCCATGGCTCTGACTGCCAAGGCCCGAATCAGAGATTGGGATCCTCATGGTCCCTTACACAGCTGTTGGCAGCCGTGATGGCCATGTCTGGTGACTCTTGGCATGGTCACTCAGGCAGAGAGACACAGCTGCTTCAGTTCCAGGCTGTCAGTCTGTGCATAGTTCACTGTACTGGGAAGCAGGAAGCTGACATCCTTCCCCCTGGTCACAGCAGCAGTCACTTTCTTCACAGCCTCCTTTCTCTTTTCTTTCTTTTCATTGTCGAGTCCAACCTTTCAGTCAAAGATTTCTCCTGTTTTATTGGTTGTGAAGTACTGTGAGTCGGTCATGGCGCTGGCTCTTTAATGTGTACCAGGGGTGAGGGTGGGGTGGCGGCAGCAGCGAGAGAGCACGGCCTGGGTGCTGTTGCAATCAAGTTTTCTTTTCTTACTAGCTTCGGTGAACCCTTAGCTTTCTTTTCTTTTGATTCAGCCATGATTCAGCCATGATATATACCCTACAGACTTGACAGCTATTTTTTTAAAATCCTCACCTGAGGACATTTTCTCATTGCCTTTAGAAAGAGAGGAAGGGAGATAGACAGAGAGGGAAGCATCGATCGGTTGCCTTCTCGTATGTGCCCTGACCAGGAATCAAACCTGCAACTTGGGTGGGTGCCCTGACTGGGAATTGAACCCACAACATTTTGGTCTATGGGATGAGCTCCAACCAGCTGAGCCACACCAATCAGGGTGACTTGACAGCTATTTTATAGGCTCTGTAGCAGCCTCATGCATATATATTTTGCCAGTGGTGGTGGGTACTGAGAGGGGCTGCCCAGTACTACACTGTGGGCAAAATGATGGTGGCCTTTCCAATTTCTAGAGCAACAGCAAGAGACTTTCCAGTTGCTAGAATGTTTGACAGTTCATTATGTGCAAACCACACAATGTCATTTCACCACCATTGTTCCAGCTGTGGTGCCCTAATTGGCATTTTGATAGATTGATGCATTTAAAAAGAAAAAGTTGTGTTTTGTGATCTCACCACATTTTAGAGATGAGTGAAATTTGTGGAAAACTGTCATCAAATGAGTTAGGAATTAGGCCTTGTTGGCCATCAGAAATAGCAAAATCTGAGCAGAAGTGATGCCATTCAGAATATCATGTCTGATCATGATGAATCAGTGACTGTAAAATGCAGTGGTCGCCATTTGCTCTTGAAGGTGAGTTGTGAAGCATTCCTGCTTTAAAAAGTGACCCCAGACTAAGTGTTGACACACTCAGAAATATGCTTCCAGGAGCTAGCATGAAAGTGTTCATGCTGGTGTGCTTAGCTTTTCTTTTTAGAGAACCTTAAACTTTTATGTTACAATATTTGTTGAGAGTTCTGTACAAAGCAGCACTATGGTAGTTCTTTCATTTTTCTAGACATTTAGCTAATTTATTTGTAAAGCATTCAAATGTAATTTTTTTTCTTTGAAACAGGGTATTCAGTTGCTGCTGGGGAATTTACAGGAGATGCTCAGCAAGGTGAGGGACATTGTTGAATGTAAGTAATTTATAAAACATGGAGAAAGGTAAAAATCACCTTAAAAGACCTTTTACAAATATAATTTTCTTTGTTACGCTAAATGTATATAAATGGAATCTAAGAATATATATGATATTTTGTAGAAAAGCAAAAAACACATACACTTTGGCATAGATTTTTAAGTCTCAAAGAATTTCATATGAATGAATACTAATCTTTAAGCAATCTAATTAAGCAATAAAAAATTAGTTCTGTAGTCCCATGTTATGAATAAGAAAAACACAGATAATTATATGATTTATACAAAAGCCATGCTGTTAGTGACACATCAAATGTGAGGAATCAAGATCCCTCATTTTAATTTCTGGGATCTCGTATTGACATATTCAAACCAAGCTCCCCACGCAACAGCAGCCCACACCTCCACGTTACTTCCTCTTTCTCTTCGGAAACGGCCAAACACGAAGTGGCAGAATAAACCAGTCTCTGTCCTCACATAGCCCCCCACCTTCTGTCTTCTAGGTTTCAATCCTCTGATTCTGTATCTACCCTCATCTTCCAGGGGCTAAATGCTAGTTTTTCTTTTGGGGCCACTTTTAAATGTCATCTCCTTTAGAAATCCTTCCTTAGCTTTCTTCTTTAAACTCCTGTATCAGGCCAGGGCTGGTGTGGCTCACTTGGTTGGGCATCATCCCACAAAGTGAAAGGTCACTGGTTCGACTTCCAGCCAAGGTGGAGGCATAGGTGGACACACCCTACCTCCACGTACAACCAAGATTGGAACAACAACAATTTAGAGGCAGAATAACACCCAGAACTGACAGAAAATTTATCTGAATGGAAGTCAGAGAGCCAAGAAGTTGAAATAGACCCATTCATCCAGACCGGTAGGAGGGGCAGAGATGAGCAGCCGGGTGCAGGTCTCGGGGCAGAGAACAGGGAGAATTAGGCGCATAAGGCAACTGGGAGTGTGTAAGGCATCTGGGGTGTGCAAGATCACAGCGGGTGAACCCTGAGTACACAAGCGGCAGCTGGCAGACCCAGTGAGGTGGCGATTGTGGAGCAGGACAGAGCGTGCAACCCAGGATCCCAGGGAAGGGACTAAGGTCCCACGGAGAACGGAGCTACCACCATTGTTCCCTCTCAACCCCGCCCTCACATACAATGTCACAATCTAGCGACTAGGGTGCCTAGCCCTGGTGAACACCTAAGGCTCCGCCCCTCACCATAACAGGAGTGACCAGACCAAAAAAAAAAAGAGAGAGAGAGAGAGAGAGATGGCTCAAACAGAAGAACAAATCAGTGCCCCAGAACTCATCCTTTTGAACAACCAAGAGATAGCTAACCTATCAGATGCACAGTTCAAAACACTGGTGATCAGGAAGCTCACAGAATTGGTTGATTTTGGTCACAAATTAGATGAACAAATGCAGGTTACCATAAAAGAAATGAAGGAAAATGCACAGGGAACCAATAGTGATGGGAAGGAAACTGGGACTCAAAACAATAGAGTGGACCAGAAGGAAGAAAGAAACAACCAAACAGGAAAGAATGGAGAAATAAAAATTCAAAAAAACAAGGAGAAGCTTAGGAACCTCCAGGACATCTTTAAACGTTCCAACATCCGAATTATAAGGGTACCAGAAGGGGGAAGAGGAAGAGCAACAGATTGAGCACATATTTGAACAAATAATAAAGAAGAACTTCCCCATTCTGGCAAAGGAAATAGACTTCCAGGAAGTCCAGGAAGCTCAGAGAGTCCCAAAGAAGTTGGACCCAAGAAGAAACACACCAAGGCACATCATAATTACATTAGCCAAGGTAAAAACAAAGGAGAGAATCCTAGAAGCAGCAAGAGATAAGGGGACAGTAACCTACAAAGGAGTTCCCATCAGACTGTCAGCTGATTTCTCAAAAGAGACCTTACAGGCAAGAAGGGCCTGGAAAGAAGTATTCCAAGTCATGAAAGACAAGGACCTATATCCCAGATTACTCTATCTAGCAAAGCTTTCATTTAGAATGGAAGAACAGATAAAGTGCTTCTCAGATAAGGTCAAGTTAAAGGAGTTCATCATCACCAAGCCCTTATTTTATGAAATGTTAAAGGGACTTATCTAAGAAAAGAAGATTAAAAAAGAAAACATGTATAGTAAAAGGACAGCAAACTCATAATTATTAACAACCACACCTAAAGCAAAACCAAAAGAAACTAAGCAAACAACTAGAACAGAAACAGAACCACAGAAGTGGAGATCACATGGAGGGTTAGCAACATGGGAGTGGGAGGAGGAGAGAGGGGGGAAAGATACAGAGAATAAGTAGCATAGATTGTAGGTAGAAAATAGACCAGGGGAGGGTAAGAATAGTATGAGAAATGTAGAAGCTAAAGAACTTATAAGTATGACACATGGACATGAACTAAAGGAGGGGAAGTGGGTGGGAGTGGGTATATAGGGTGGAGGGGAGTGAAGGGGGAAATGGGACAACTGTAATAGCATAATCAATAAAATATATTAAAAAAAGGAAAGGTCACTGGTTCAATTCTTGGTCAGGGCACAGGTCTGGGTTGTAGGTTCAGTTCCTGGAAGGGGTGCGTATGAGAGGTAACTTATCCATGTTCATCTGTCACATTGATGTTTTTCACTCTGTCTTTCGCCTCCCTTCCCATCTCCCTAGAAATAAATAAAATAAAATCTTAAAAAAATAAACTCCTGTACCATCTAATCTTTCCTTCCACTAAGGCATTTACCATTTATTCACTCATCAAATGTTTTTGAGCACCTACTACATGCCTGGCTATGTGTTAAGTGTTAAGCACACAGAGGTGAACTTAATCCCAGAGTTTATAATCGAGGGGTGCTAACAGACATGAAACAACAAACACAAAATACCTGATTAAAAATTGTATTAAGTTAGGGTAAAGTTCTAAACACAGAACTAATCCCATTTGGGAGGAGTCTGCCCTCATGACCTGGTCACCTTCCAGAGAATCCATCTTAGTTTTCACTGTATGAATTTCAGAAGATAGAAGCATTCCATCCATAGCAGCACCTATCATACACATGACAGTAAATGGCAGTGTTTATTTACTAGTAATATTTATTGAATAACTCCATCAGCAATCCATATTGGTCATTTTCCATCTTGTTTCAGATGAACATCAGCTGCTTTCCACTAATGTGTCTTTTAATTCACAAAAAATTAAGAGTAAATTAAATATGGCCATCTTTAGGAATCATCACAGCTGTTTTAATAGTTTCCTCTTGACAAGACATACAGAGCAGAAGTTCATGAAGAATGGTTTTGCTACTAGGTAGAGGTTGAAAACACGTATCTTATTTTTTCTTTAGGAGAACATTTTTCTTTTGAGTACAAGCTAATTATTAAAGGCCCTCTCTTTACATCATTTTTTCTTCAAGATAGTAAAAGACAATCTGTTGTGATGGTTAAAAAACATGGACTTTGGAGCTAGACCACGAGGGTTTAAACTCTGACTTTGCCACTTACTAGCTCTGTGAGCTAGTCACCTAAAATGTTAGCGCCTCCACTTCTTTATTCCTAAAATAAGGATGGTGGTGGTGATAGTATCATCGACATCATAAGATTCTTGTGAGGATTAACGAGTTAATCCTATAAGATTCACAGAACAGTGCTATGCCCAATACATAAAAATACCATTTAAATGTTAGCTATAATAAGAAAGAATCCCTGGGTTAGGAGCCATCAGAGATAGAATTGAATAACTATCACTTTTATGAAGTCAGATCTTACAGGCACTTAGTGATTTTGCAAAGGAAACTGCAAAATGTGCCAAATGATTTTTAAACACGGCGTTAGGGCTCTTTTGGAAAGCTCTCCAGAAGAGCATTCAGCTTGGACCCAAGGAAATTAATGATGATGTGTGACAGCTTATCATAGGAAAACATAATAGAAAGTCATAGTGATTTTCCATGGGATCTCAGAAATATCCAGAGAATGGATCCAAGTTTTAAGTTATTTATGAGTATCTAAAATAGAGGCATTGTCAGAGATCATAATCCATTCCTCAAACCATTCCAAGTCCAAGGCTGTTTGCTATTTACTTAATTAAACAGAAAAAGTGGGCATTTTATGCAAAATAGTGAGCAGCTTGATGTCCTAAAGATGAGAGATTCTTAATACTGGATCCTTGAACTCTAGGTGGTACATGGATGGGCCTCATGGAATTTGAACACCCAGAAATTATACACACAGTTTTGTATGTATGTGAATTTTTCTGGTGAGATCCATAACTTTCATCTAATTTTCAAATGTGTTCATGACTCAGAAAAGGTTAAGATCCTCCATTCTCATTTCAGAGTGAGATGAGGTGAGCTAATGCCCAAGAAAGTGATCTGGTCCCACTGAATCCTGGGATAGTCATTTGATGGGCTGGAAAGAATATCGCTGCCAGTTCTGGAGTTCCACTACTCACCAATTATGTATGGTGACCGAACCTTTCTCATCCTCAGTTTCCCAGCCTGCCAAAAATGGATATGAATGACTACTTTTGAGAGGTTAAATTAGAGAATTATTATAAAGAATGTGCCACATTGACTAGTGGGTAGAAGACATTCAACAAATGCTAGCCTCCCTTCTGCTTCTCATTAGTGGGGTTGATGTCCATGTCATGTGTTTAGAGGCAGGGATCTAAATTTTTCCTGTGCAAGGGTCTAAATTTTTCCTGAACCATCTTCAGGAGTTACTGAAATGGTTCTAAGAAAACTCTCATATTTTCCCTCCCCTCTCTGAATATTTAGGTAGCTGAGTGACAGTTCTCTTAACTTGCCTCAGATTCCAGTCAATTTATTGTCTTGATTGTTTTTAAACAGTTATGAATACTTGTAATCAACATTTCATTTGATAACATCTTAATGTTGTGGCCATATGAGGTTATAGACTCCAAAGTTACTGAGTGTGATGATGGTTGATTTTTTTTTAAAAACAAAATGCTAAGTGTCTGTGGGATGTGAGAAGTAGTGGTTGCCATAAGTCTCAAATGGCATAATCCCCCTTAATCTTTCCTGGTCGACAGCATGATCCTGAAATCAGTCAATCCATTTTTTTCTGGCTGTGATCTGTCTTTAGGTGCTGGGAGAATCTACTTCCTACCAAGTAAAGACGATTGAAAACCAAACATGTTACCAGTTCTGACAGCTTTCCTAGCAATGTATCCAGATAGCTTAGTTTTTCTGAACTGCATTTTATTCTTCAAGAACATTATTCTTCAAGAATATTCTTCATAATATCCAGGCCCCACTGACATTACTGCAATAGCTTCCTGGCTGGCCTCCTTGTGTTCCTCCCCACCCTCCTGTAGTCCTTGAACCCAGCAGCCAAAGTGGCCATTTAGAAACAGAAATTAGATTGTGTAACTTCTTTGCTCACAGTGGAGTTCCAGCTCATTCAGGCTAAAATCCAGGTCTTCACTATGACCCAAAAACTCTAATCATGAAGTCACTATTTGCTTTGAACTCATCTCCAACCCCTTTACCCCTCACTCCCTCTGCTGCAGCCACTGGCCTCCTTGTTCCTTTGAATACTCCAGACACCTTTGCACTTGCTCCCTCTGACTAGAACATACTTCTCCCAGAGCTCCATGGTATTCACTTCCCCACTTTCTTCAGTCTTTGCTCACGTGTCACCTTCTCTGCAAGTCATCCCCTGGCTACCCTAATACATCACATTCCAGCTCCAGCACTCTCTGTACCGTTGGACTGCTTTGTTTCCTCCACCATAGTTACCTGCTTCAAACATACCATTTCACTGGCTCTGGTTTTTTAAGTGACCAACTCTTCCAACTGGAGTATTAGTTCCATGAGAGCAGGGAATTTTGTATTTCACTGTGTATCCTGTATGTATGTCTGTAAATATTTGTTGATTGAATGAATTAATTTACTACTGGAAAGTCCAACATCTAGTCCCAAACGAATCTCCTCTGACTATTAATGCTACCAGTGTGGCCATCCATCTTTGCTAATGTTGAGCACAGCAAGTAGTGTTAATGCTGGAATTTGTGCTCTACTTTTAGGGGCAGGAGTGGGGGAAGGAAAATTTAAATGGAAAGGGACTATATTCCAGGCCCCTCTTTTTGAAATTAAACTAAAATTTTAACATCCCTGAGTCAGATAATAGTTTGATTTATAGAAATGACAGCTGGAAAGATCTTTGATAATCAGAGATTCCACCTCCCACACATTGCAGGTCACTGGAAAAAAAAAAGGTTCAATGGCTCATCCCAAGTGTACGACAGTGCAAAGGGCCCAAAACACTCCTTTGTGAATGTAGAGCCAGCTCTCTCTGTGCCTTGGAACACCTGCCCCCTTTCCATAGTCCTGTTCTGTATCTCTGTCATTGAAGCTTCCTTTCTTGGCTGCCACGTTGCCGCCTACTTCTTCTGCCAACAAACAGTTTCAGGGGGCAGACTCATATTATCTATGATATATGGCCTTTTCTTAGATAACCAAAATTGTTTTAACATTTTAGTGTGACAGGAACTGTTAAGTTTTTATACTAGTACAAAAGATATCACCACAGCGAAAGCTGGAAAGATCAGGGAAAGAGGCTTAACCTACAACTCACACGCAGAGCTGAGAAGCCAGGCTTATGGTCTAGGGGCAGAGACACATGGAGACAGTGGCAGAGACTGGTTACTCTCAAAGTGGAACATCAGGTCTTCTGTTTTCTGTTGTCTGCAGCAGAAGCAAAATCCAGTACATGCAAAACCATGACTGCAAACATCCTGCTCTCTGCACGATGTATTTATTTAAGAAATACTGTCTTTAACTGAGTTGTTGTGTAGCTATAAAAAGAAATTATATATAAAATTCACCTTCTAAATGACAATTTTTTTTTTTTATCACCAGAACTGGTTGCTGGAGTTCCAAGAGGAGCACAGAATTTTGGATATGTGAGTAGTAAGGATACATTACAGAATATTTTCTTGTGTATACAACTTTTAAATCTTTTAAAATGCCCTTCAATAGCAAGCCCCTCTGATCCGTGCTTGTTTTGTTTGTAAAAAGGAGGCCAGATCTTTTGTTCTGATCTATGTGCAGAATCGGCTGCATAACTGGTGGGACCCAGGGTGAGGGAACGCAGGGCGGCTTGTTCAAAATTATTAAGAATTTCAGGACATGGTAGCTGGGCATGAAAGCAAGGGTGGGGCCCATCTGACCTTGGGTCCCTGTGTGACCATGCAGGTCACACACCCATGGAGCCTGCCTGATCCTTGTGTGTAATCTAGAGATAGTTGTAGAGGACCCCACTGTTGATATAATCAACATTTTAATGCATTATGTAGCAGCAATAATAAAGTCAATTGTTATTTCACTAGTGCATGAGTTTTCTTAGGGCTGCCATCACAAATGACCATAAATGGGGTAGCTTAAAACAGCATAAATTTACTCTCTCAAGGGGCCTGAAATTAAGGTGTCTGCAGGGCCACACTTCCTCCTGTGCATCTAGGGGAGAATTCTTCTTGTCTCCTGAGCTTCAGGTGGCTCCCGCCTCTCCTTGGCAAGCAGTGACTTAACTCCCATCTCTGTGTCAGTCTTCACATGGTTTTCTCCCATCCGTATCTATGTGTGCCCACTCCTTTTCATATAAGGACACTAGTCATTAGCTATAGGGCCTGCCCCAAATCCAGGAGGATTTTATCTTGAGATCCTTAATTTACTTCATCTACAAAGAGTCTACTTCCAAATAGCAGCATGAATTTTTGGGGAATGCTAGTCAGATCCATTATAACTAGTTACTACAAAATTAAGAAAAGGAAATAAATAGACCTTATAAAAATAAAGACTTTTTAAATGAAAATATCTAAAATAATGTTTATTTTAAAAAAGTCCACTAAACTTGTAATATTTGTAGATTTGGGGTGGGCTGAATAAAATTACAAGGAATAATTTTGCTACATGAATATGGTCTTAAAATTTCATTTTTTGCAAAGAGGCATAATCTCCAATTTCTCATAATAGCATGAATCTATACAAAAGTCCTAATTAGATCAATTCACCAACCATCAGATCAATTGCTCTCAAGAAATATTCAAAGGAAGCAAAATTTGAATTCAGTGTTCTTAAATTCAAATCTTATTTCTCCACTTCAGAGTAGTAATATGCATTTTGTCTGAAAGGACCCCTAGAGTTAACCATAAACAAAAAGTTCAGTGGGATTTTTTAAAGATCATTCTTATGGGCTAAACTTGTATTTTACATAAAGCTAATCATTTATCACTCTTCTCCAAAATTTAAAAATGATTTAAGTTATAATTAAATTTTTTTCTTTAATTCTATTTTGAATGATGTAACCTATCTAATTTCTATGATTGCAGGTTTCAATCATTAACTCTACAGATATGACTTCTATTCAGAATTTCACTGGTGAACAGGTGAGGACATTTTAATATCAAATAATGTCACCTGGTACTAATAGCATGTAGTAATTTTTATACCATTTATTCTTTTATAAGATAAATATTTACTGAGCACCTACTATGATCTGGAAGCTTCCCTAGGCACTGGAAATATAGCCACACATCCGACAGATGAGAACCCAGTTCTTGTGCAGCAGTGTGGGGGAGGCAGGTGGCTGGGGTGGGGGGCAGCAGTTAATTAACAAACAGGTAAATGTCCATGATAATTTCAGATTGCGATAAATTATATAAAGACAGAGTATGATCCTTAAAAGCCAAAATGCTGCTGGGATTTGAGAGCAACCCTGTTCTATGGCAGCCTTGCATGTAGTGCCTGGTTGTGAGTTCTGGGCACCCACCTTCCATCTGAGAGGACACGGGCTTCTCAGATGTCCCCCTGTACTGGGCAGAGCCAGTGATCCTGGGCTCTGCTCCCTTCCTCACAGGGGGCAAGCGCTCCTTACCACTCACTGGCTGAGGGCTTGGTAAGCATGGGCCAATTGCCTGAAAACAGGCTGCTGTCATTCTCCTGATGTTACATGCCCCATAGTCGCACTTCAACCAACATCCTGCCTTTTCCTGGGTCTTGGGACCTGTTGAAAGCTGCCATATGTCTTTAAAACAGTGAATGAATTTGGTGCTGCCATCTGAGGCAGCCCGTCATGAGTCACACTACTAGTTTCTCTGGGCATCCAATGCTTCCTCCCAACTCTACCAACCCAGGTAACTAAGTGTCTAGCAAGACTCACAATTGAATTTGGCCAAGTCACATCTTGGCCTTCTGCATTATGGTATAAAATGCTGAAATGCTCAACTCTTAGCTAGAGAATTGGAATAATATATTTGTCATGCAGTTACGATTAATAGAGTTTTTCAACGAACACAGAGCATTTGTGACATCCCCCTCCCCCCCAGATTGGGGCTTCAGTCTATCCATTACTCTGCAGTTTTCAACAAAGCATTTAACAAGTTTGTCATGACACCCATGAGGCACATATGGAGAAATAAGGCTGGGATGATAGTGCAGTTGGCTGGGTTTATGAATTTTGAACATCTCTTCCCAAGTGGTGATCATTAATGGCTTAATGAAAATCTGGCAGAGTTTCTCCTTTGCCCAGATTTGTTTTACAGTTTACATTTGTTTTACATTAGAAGTTCCTTAAACACTGTTAAATTTGGCTTTTCTAAAACTTCTCATCCTTAACATCACCTAGTTTTGCAATCCTGAAGCTGAGAACTTACTGCTTAAATGATGATATTCCTCTGGGTGAAGGGCACACAACACCAGCCAGGAATTAAAGTGTTACTGTAAACATTTGGAATAGAGAAAAGAGGGGGGAGAATCTAACTCTTGTGACACTTGTTCAGTCCTGTATTCGTTCCCTTGCCAGAAAGTACCTGGCACCTGGCATCTACTTTGAGTTAGAGGAACCCTGGTCAGGCGGTGCAGGTAGAAGAGTGAACGACACACACCAGCATCTTTGCCTTCTGTGGAGCACGCTCTGAGTGGGCTGCACGCTGACTGAGTTAGTAGGCGATGTGCTACTGAGTCAGCAAAAGCACTGGATGGCAGAATATGGCAATAAAAATATCCTGACAAGCTGAAACTATGGGCCAAATCTGAAAAGACTATAAATCTTGAAAGCATAGGTTGAAAAGGGAAACCTATGAGCTAGAATGGGGGGAGATTATGGCACACTAGTTACACTCAGAAAAGACTTAGGAGCCTTACTTGACAATAAGTACAATATGAATTGATACTGAGATGCAGTTCCCCCCAAATTAAAGCCTTTGTTATTCTTCATTGATATGAAAAGCCCAAAGCAGAGTGTAAATACTACTCGAGAAGAGTGTTGGTGTGCCCATGGGGTCATGGGGTACCAGCTTCCGTTTGGTATCCCATGCCGTGTCTCTAAGAAAAAGGGGCCAGGATGGTTCACCAGCTAAAAATATTTCCATAGGAGATCCCATATAGCAGTGGAATTCAATTTATTCTGTGAGGCTCAAGACTGCAAAACTCGGTAGGATTAAGGACTAGAAGTTACAGAAGGGCCAATTTTAGTAAAGAATATTCTAATAATTGAGTCCATAAATTGAATGGGCTGATGGTTGAACATTTTCAAAGGGTGTCCAAGTGGCTATCAGGGGTGTTGGGGGAAAATGATGCATTGGGTCAGGGGTTAGACTAAATGACTCCAAGACTGCCCACGTCCAACAGTCTGTGAAATTAAATGCAGAAATGTGCTGCAATGAAATTAATCTTTCAGGGATTGAGACATGACTATAAAAATGCTTTCTGAATGTAAAGTATGTCATCTCATGGTTTTCCTTTGCAGATGGCATCTTACTTTGGATATACAGTTGCAATATCAGATGTTAACAGTGATGGGTAAGTCAATAAGAACTTCCTCACTCACCATGTATTATACTCATCCACAAAAATGTTATATTTTTCCCCTTCATGAAATACATCCTTCCATATCTCCTTGACAAGATAGAGGCTCTCTTGTTTTAACTTTTTTTTTTTTTGGTTCAGGGCAAGAGGATGTATCTCCTAAAGAATTCTTTGTCATCCTAGTTTATGCTTGAGATTTTCCACATCTGCTACTTCTAGGAAAGAACTATTTTACTTAGTTTTATCTTTAATTTTTATGAATTCACTAGTCCTTGACCATTCAAAATCCATAGCCTTTAAAGAGTTTGCTCATCTGTCTCTTTCCACCCTTTAGCAAGTTATACATTCAAGCTATAACTTCAGCAAGTTATATTTTTACATAAAAATATTTTTCTCTCTTTTTTAAAAATAGTTTTTTCTCTTGACATTGCTTTAACTGACAGACTAGTAACACCATGGAGGAGATGAAATAATCATGTTATTTTTCAGATTATGGCAGTAAATTAAAGCTGAGCTTGAGCCAAACAACATGATAAATAATGTTTAAGTTATTACTTCAAAAATAATTATTAAGTATCTCTTTGGTTCACTAAAAGCACTTGCCAGATAAGACAAATGATCAAGTAAGAAAATCAATAAGTTGAGATGAACATCATGATTACCTATCCAATTAATCTTGTTGGAGCGCCTACTATGTGCCAGGCATTGTTCTCAGTGCTCAGAATAAGTGGTGAATGGAGCTTGCATTTTTGCAGAAGGCAGATATTTGAAGAATACGACTGTGCTCCAGGATCTGGCCTAAGCTCTTTAGATTCATCATTGACACACATTAGCTGTGACCTTTGTGTAGCTAGAAATGTTCTTTAGACATTATGTGGTGGCTTAGGACTGGAGATGCATTTGGTAATTTTTGTACCTTTTGGAAAATATCTTTTCATTATTTTGTCATTGAACATATATTTCTTGAGCATCTACCACACACTAGCACTGTTCTAGCTGCTGGGATGTATCAGAGAACAAAATCAAAACCTCTACCCTCATCAAGTTTATACTTGAGTTGGGGGGTGTGGAAGCTAATGGCAAAAAATAAACAAGTCAAGTAAGTGTGTGTTAGATCACGATGAACACTATGCAGAAAATCAGTAGAAGGGCTAAAAGCAACCGAAATGTCCTTCCGTAGGCGAATGTGTAGATAAACTGTTACACCCAGACAATGGGATATTACTTAATGCTGAAAAGAAATGAGCTGTCAAGTCATGAAAAGACATGGAGGGAACTTAAATGCCCATTGTTAAGTGAACGAGGTCACTCTGAAAGTCTACATCGTGTATGGCTCCAACTGTATGACAATCCGGAAAAGGCAAAACTGTGAGATGGTAACAGGGTTGGTGGTCACCAGGAACTAGCGGGAAAGCAGGGATGAACAGCAGAGCACAGAGGGTTTTTAGGGCAGTGAAACTGTTCTGTGTGATAACTACACAAGTGGATCTGTGTCATTGTACATCGGTCAGGATGCATAGAATGCCCAACACCAAGAGCGAGCCCTGTTGCACACTGTGGACTTGGGTACTTACGATGCATCAGTGCAGGTTCATTGATTGTGACACGTGTCCCTTTTTGGTGGGGATGTTGACAAAGGGGTGGCCATGCCTGCAGGGTGGCAAGGGGTATGTGGAAACTCTCTGTGTGTTCTACTTAATTTTGTTTGCACCTAAAACTGCTCTAAAAATAAAGTCTATTAATCACACTTATAAAAAGAAAAACAAGGGCATAGGGAATATTGGGGGGGGGGATGTGATTTTAAATCAGGTGGATAGGGAAGGCCTGGGTGTTAAAGTTACAGCTGAGGAAAGACCTGAAGGGGGTAAGGGGACAAGCACTATGATTAGGGGGGAAGAGTGTTCAAATTCCCGGAGGCAGGACCTCAAAGATGAGGGGGGAGGGGCCGGGCGTGAAGGTCTGTGAGCAGGGCATTTACTCTCCACTCCTTTACACAGCACCTCCCTGGCTCTGCCGCGAGCAGAACGGGTCTGTTTCCAAGAAGGACACCTCATCTCATGAGCCACTGATGGTGCTGAGTGAGGCAGGGGCTTGCCCCAACTTCAGTCTTAGCAGGCATGCTCCGTCTGTTGGGTCTCGGGGGCTGGAGGCCTCCTGGCAGCTCATGGCCAGAAGCCAGGCGAGGCAGCACAGAGGCGTGGGGCAGAGCAACAGCGGGGGCGGGAGTAGAAGTGGCTGCACTCTGGATAGACTTCAAAGGTCTGTTGGAATGGAAGCAGTGATTTAAAATTAAATTGCTTCAACCTTCAGCTGTCTGAGTTGTGAAAAGAAAGTGACAATTAGGATGACCATTCACAATTTCCAACCTGTATAAACTGTATTTGTTATCAGAGCCTTTTTGTAATTTAGAAAGCAAATGGCTGAAGAAGAACTTGAGTCTAAAACATGGAGTATTGTCCATTCTTCAAGGAAAGCACAAGGTCCCACCGTGGCCTTTAGGGTGTGGTGCAGACACATCTCTCTGAACAGAGGGTGACTCCACAAGCACAAGGGCTTCTCCCCGGGAGTTGCACAGCACTTGGTGGGACACAGATGAACTCAGCATGAGTGCTTCATACTGCACCGACCAGTACATCCACTACCTTTATACTGCTATTTTAAAAAAAGTGAAGTGCCCCTCAATTCTTGGTGTGTCCATAATTGACTATTTTTAATTATTCACTTGCTATGTAAATGCAGGGTCCTGTTGTAAGGGAGTGTGCTGTAAAAGCCCCTGAGAGCCCTTCATCTGAAACAGAGACGGACAACCCAGGTGAAGTCTGAGCTTACAATAAGGAAGACATAATCTGCCGTCATCTCTGCGGCACCTGTATTTCTGGAATAATCATTTGATATTGTCGGCTTTCAAACAGACACAAATAGGAAACGCGTGGCAGCTGGTGTTTCTGGGTTTCTACTGGATCCCAGGATGGGCGTCGGAAAGCCACTAGGAGCAGTGAGAGCCAGTGGCCTCAGCTCCCGGGATGGCTCTCATCCTCAGGGAAGGTCGGGAACAACCTGTTGGGCAGAGACATGAACCTGCAGTGCCCCAGAGACCTTGGCAGAACAAGACAAGAAGGGCAGCAAGTCACGTGTGTCCATGATTTCTGAGGCCCTGCGATGGCTCCGTGCAGACACATGTGGCCTCGTTTTGAGAGGTGCTTTGCCGTTCTCTTTCCTGACCAGATTTCCAGCAGAGATCCGAGGCCACAGAAGGTTTATAGCAAACAGGAATCCTTATCTCAAAGTTTTCCTGGACATTATCTATACATTTGGTCTCCTCAGTTTGTTAGCAGTTTCAAATGCAGAAAACTCTTCCCCAAAACTGTTGTGGAAACTAATACTGCTACTAAGCTACACAATTTTTATCACGTATGATTAGCAGACAGTTTTTTCCTCTCTGTGCCTTCCAGGGTAACATGTCTAACAACAGCAGACCATCTGTACTACAGTCCAGTGAAACGATCTAAAATTCACTCACGAGGAAACTGAGGCTGGAAGTTCAGTGAAGTGCAGGTCACACACTAAGTAGGGAAATAGCTTAATTAGTTGCTGGACCTTCTGCTAATTTACCCAACTTTTTTTTTTTCACTATCTACAGAGAACTTGTTAAGCCCTATAAAATATAATTTCAGTCTTCAAGGTTTTATAATCTACATCAGGAATTTTTGATCAAATAAGTGAGTAAAATGATGGCATGACTCTCACTTTTAAAAGATGGGAAATGGGATAAATTAGTATAATGGTCACTGAAGAAACCCAATAACTTCTTTTAGTTTTATTTTTTCAAATAAAATTATATATGTTTAGGGTGTAAAACATGAAGTTTTGGTATAAATATACACACCAAAATGACCACTGTGTTCAAGCTAACCAACATTGACCAACGTGATCCATCTGTATCCACCCCACGATGTGATCTGTGTGGGGGGTGGGGTAAGAGAGCACCAAGGATCTGCTCTCTCAGCAAATTTCCAGGATACAACACAGTAGCATTGACTACAGCCTCATGCTGCCCATCAGATCCCTTGACTTACTCACCCTACACAACTGTTACTTAGTATCCGTGGCCAGCTTCTCCCCATTCCCCCACTTCTCCACCCCTGGTAACCACCAGCCTACTTTCTATGAATGAAAGGTTTTTAGATTCCATTATATACACACACATAGTTTTATCTATCTACCTATATATACCTATATATACGTATACATAAACATATAGATGTAGTCTGTGTACATCTATGTGCATAGATATAAGGTGTACACATACATATAGATTCCAGTAACATTAAATAAAGGTTGTGGTAGAAGAATAAAATCTATGTTTTAAATGTTTTACTCTATATTGGCTATTGATTAAAAAACCTACACTTCTATTTATTAAGTGCACATTTTAATAATTTCCATTATTTTTATAAGCAAGGTCTTCTACTTTATAAAAATATAAAGTCATAATTTCAAAGTCATATCACCAAAGAACTTTAAAGTTGTATTTAATTGTGCTAAAAATAACTGACTGGTGATTTTAGACAATTCAATTGTAAATGGTTCTTAAGGCCATGGCATATATGCAAATTCAGTTTGTTTCATTATATTGAAAATGGTCATACTAATCTTCTACATTTTACTGAGTCATTGGTTATCATTCATAAATAATTTTACAGAGTCTATAATTCCTACAACTTAAAAAAAATTACAAAGCCCTTCTAGCTTTTCTAGAATTTATCAGTTATTAAGGAAGCATCAGTGAGCATTTGTCACTTAGCAGAGTTTAGTACTAAATTTAAGATTTAATTCCCATTTTTTACCCAAATTCATACCATATATTCAGGGCTGGGCAAAAGTAGGTTTACAGTTGTATACATGGAAAATAAAGCAAACTCTGTTCCCTGTACTCAAAACTGTAAACTTAACCTTTGCCCCACTCTTTCATCGTTCATCTCATACCTTTCCTT